TGGCCAGATTTCTTTGCAAGAAGAACTGGAGCAGATTCTGGGGGAGAAAAATCAGCAAGAGGAGTTCCTTCTTAAATAAGCAACACCAGCTTCTAGCATCGTATTTGTGTGCAACGTTTGGCTGAGATATTAGAAGTATCCGAGAGACAAGCTCCCCTCCCATCAGCCCTATAAGGTAGACCAGAAAAAGAAGCCAATGCTACGAAGGTCAGGACTACTTTTATTGTAAAGCTATAGCTGCATTTCTCAACCTTGGCAACTCTAAGATGTGTGGACTTCAACCCCCAGAATTCCCCAGCCAGTTGCTAAGGTTGAGAAACACTGAGCTATGGTAACAGAATTTTGCAAGTCTGAATGTGTTTCCTCCTTCCTCCCTTTATCTTTGTGACAACTAGGGAGGGAGGGGCTTGTCTGATCCGTTTTCTCACGTTACTGTATTGGCCTGGGCTCAATCCCTGCTTATCTGACCATTGCTTGTAGTGGCTCTTCTTCCTGTCTTTCAGGGCCATTCCCTGTTCCCTCTGCACCTCTTCTCAAATCGTTTTTTAAGAGCACACTCCCTACCTACTATCAAAATTCCAAATGTGTTTGCCTACTTCTGCAATTGGCTAACTCAAAATCGAAACAAGAGAACATCAAGCTTCTAAGATCTCAAGATAACTTCAGCATTCAAGACCTTACAAAAATATAAAATCCAGAAGTTACTCTAGCTCATCCTCAACTGTAGGCGAAAGAAAGCTTCCTTGGTTCTTGGAAAACAGAAGTACAGTAGTATGAAACCAGTTTTTATATTAACACTGGGGACAATTTGAAGGTGTTGGCATATGGGGACTGGGAGGATCAATTTAAGCCAAATTAGGTAACTTTAGATAGAAGGGAAGAGCTTTCTGAGAATAAAATCCCCATTGCAACTCGGATAGAGCAAATTTGCAAAACTCTAGATGACTGCTGCAGAAAAATAGAAATAGCCAAGTTAGGGATAAAACCCCAAGATCCATACTAGGTCGAGAACACAAGCAAAACTTCTCAAAACTCCAGGAGTAGAAAGAACGATGGACAGAATTGGCCACAGCAGGCTGGAGGAAAGGTCAATTTATTGACCTGTTAATTTTTGACCCACTTAAAAATCAGTGGGATTTTATGAGTAATCTCATCAACAAAGCCAAAGTCAGGACCCTACTTTTATGTCTGGCTGCGGAGCATCAAAACAGCCCTTTAATGAAAGGACTGCCCCGCTTGGCGGTCACTTTTTAAAACAGAGGTGAAATAGAACCCATAGCTGCCCTACCTCTTGGAGTGAGTGGATGTAGGGGATCTACTCTCATAGGAAATCTGCTTGCACACAAAAGATCTGAAGTTCAAGCCTACCACCTCCATGTAAAAGGACTCACTGGCTTTTATCTGGTTGAGATCATGGCTGGGTCAAGGTAGAGGTTCACTTTGCTTTTGAAGTGAGAAGTGGTAGTGTCCATCTGCTTCGGCCATAGGGAGTCCAAGGGGTCTGTTGAAGACCTCTTGATCAAAAGATCTCATTGAAGTCTGGAGGTGGTTCACAGCACACCTCATACTTTCCGGACTATAGAATTTGGTGAACTTTGGGCTTTATCCCACAAACATGTTTAGTTCTTAAAGGAGACAGGGGTCTACTCAGGAAACAACCTCAAAGACTACAGTTCCCATAACCCCTTGCCACTAGCCATGCTAACCAAAGCTGACGGATTCGGGGATTTTAGAAAATTCTACTAGTTTAGCAGAAGAGCCAACCTGTTAAATCTGGGATATTGTAAGCATTATTTTCTGAGCATCCGTTGGCAATCCACCCTATTAGCTTCCCTTCCAAGGCCTATATAACTTGCAATGACTTTGCTGTTAAAGTTGGAACATTGACTCATGTGGTTTGAGCTTGTCCTACTATTACCATTATTGCCTACCACTATTACCATTACTATAATCATATTTGGATTTGAAATTCACAGGATTGACACAATCAGCTGATTAAACTGATCACTGCATGTCAAGGAGACCTACGATTGTCACGTTCCTAGCACTTGGAATTTATCAAGACTCTGTGGACTTCTCACACAAGGAGATGACCAAAGAATTATGATGCAATGTTGGAAAGAAAAATCTACACCTGACTTGCCCCAAGGAAAACTAATTCACCTGCTTGGGGGAAAAAGACAAACAAGATAGTTTTTGACCAATTAAATCAAACTTTTTGAAGTTGCTCTTCTTATGACCTAATTTCCCTGCATCCTTTCTTTAATATCAATATTGCATCGTCACAGCTCACAATCACGGGGGCACATTTTTTCTCTCTCTCTCCTCCACTGTGTTAAAAGGCCCTGCTCCTCCATCTCACCAGACTTTTCCAAAAGGGGGGCAGCAAAATGAAAAATACCTCCCCCAGGGCCAAACTCATGCAGTAGGGAAGCACAGTAATTACTCTTAAAGGTGAAGACTCCCAGGAGTAGAACTCCATTTCTGATGACTCAGTGGACACATCCATGTGCTTTTCTTCACAACAAAACAGAATTGCTTTCCCTTGCCTCTTCTGTTTTGGGACTTCCAGGTCTAGCCTCTAACCCTAGGATTTAGGGAGAATTCAAGTATGAACCAGGTTAGCCCTGTTTAACATTTTGAGAACAGCAAAAGTCAACTAGGAGCTTCCCCTTGTTGTGGACACCAGTCTACATAGCTCATATACAATCTCCCAGAAGCAGACATGTCTGGCTCTTACCTTTTTTCCAGAAAATTTTAACTTCCTAGTTTAGCCTAATACTGTACTTCGTGGTGCTCTCCCATCCAAGTACTTAACCTGGTTAGTTCAGCTAAATGTTGGCTAAGTGTTGCCACCTACGTAGACAAGACTCCTTCATCTGCCTTCCCTTTGATGATCTGGTGGTATCGTGCTGGCTGGTCCTTCTAACTCTTAGTTGTATGGGACTTCAGTCCCTTTTCAAACGATGCCTTAAACTAAACAGGGGGACTTCTGAAGCAAGCTTGAGTTTGATTCTGTTCTTTGATTTTTCTTATTTTGAATGAAGGGCTTGGAGAAAATGAAGAGAAGCAAAAACGAAGGTGGAGAAGGAAGGTGGGTCTCTGGCTCTCTTTCATCTTGCTGGAAAAAACTCATAATTTCCAAAAAAAGTTGGGATGCCTTCTGGACATAATCTGAAAATTACAGATGTGTGAATGTTTTCCTCCCAGCTTCTTGGCCTAATGGTGAACTTACCAAACCACTACTGTCTGTGGCTGTGCCAGAGTTAGTGCTTCAGCCGAAACCAAATCAGCTTTTAGCTAGCAGACATTTTGCAGAACGATGAGAACGCCAGCCAGCTGTTTTGTCCTCTTTTGGCAATTTGTAACTTTTTTTTTTTACAGCCAACAGCTGCTGTTCGTGACAACACTCCATCCGTATCTCTACGCATCGCCCCACGTCAGCTTTTGCAAGGGTGGATTAATATTCTTTGGCTGGAGTTCCTCAAACATTTTCTGGGGAAAAGGTTGCAACTGGGGACAAACTGGATTGTCTGTCCACCCACTCTTTGCAAAGAATCGACCGTACAAGTAGGAGGCAGTCATGCAAACTGGTTGTTATTCATGCAAACTTCGATAATACTTGGTTAACGGTTGCAATTCCCACTGCATTTTGTAATAATCCTGGAAATCTCTTGGTGGAAGAAGCTTCATGCTTACCTTATCAGCCCTAATATTAATTATGCTGGCTCCTCCTCATCTTCCTTTTTTTTACCAAGTTGACCAATTTCTTGTAATGGATCTATTGCTGTTTTTTTCCCCCATATTTTCCTTGCTTTCTGGGGTGCAGCAAGAAGCACGTGATAAACAAAGGGGCTGGAGAGAGCCACTGCCAATGAGAGCCATTTGATCCAGGAAAGATTATTTCTTTATTTAACTGTTTTTCAGGAATAGACTGCAGGTGGCTTTCACAGCCCTGCTCTATGGCCTGAAAACTGGTGCATAATTTCCCACTCCCTCTGCAAGGGAGAATCCCACAAAAGCTGCCATGTAAGTCTCTTAATACAGCTTGAGAACCAGAAAAAATACTTCAAAACACCAACTGCCTCCAAACCAGGATCAGCCCCACCCACTTTGCATTGTGGCCTGTGGCCTCCCGCAATCTTAAGAGGCCAACCTACCTCACAGGGTTGTTGTGGTGGGGATAAAAGAAGGGAAAACCCCATGGAAGCTGGCTTGAGCTCCTGGAGAAAAAGGAGGAAAGAAATGAGACATATAAAAAAACCTGAGCAAGTTCTTCAGCTCTTATCAGCCTGCAGGTTCTTGAATCTTCGACCTGGGGAATCAAGGCATTGAATGAGAATTCTCAAGCCTCTCTTTCTGGAACAGCACCCTCTAGCAGGGGGGTCAAAAAAGTCAAGATGTCAGGCACAGCCATGCAATTAAAGCCCTGCCTGTTTTTAACATGTGTCGTGGACCCCTCTGCGCCAGCATAAGAACAAATGGAGTTGAGATGCTTCCATAACTTCCAAACTTATCTAAGAATCCAGTACGGAGGATGGTGGGGAGGGCGGCTTCCACGTGAGTCTCCAGGCCCTCGTGTACAGCAGCATTCATTACTGCCTTCTTCCAAATTTTATAGCCTGGCTGGAGCCGAACACAAGAAGGATAATTCTCACCCCTGGCCTCTGCCGGGGCCACAGAGCTTCCCCCCCACCCCGGCCCTGAAACGGCTAAAATACACTCAGCCTGCAGTGGGAGCCCTTAAAACAGATTTATGACCCTTAGGAAAAAAGAAACGTGCTAAACTTTCTCAGCCCTTGCCCAAACCAGGGGGAACCCCCCCCCCAAATCGTGACTCTATTAAGGGGGCAATGCAGCCCCTTCTATTTGACACGATAACCTCATCTGCCCCCTCTGGGTCTCCCAAGGAGGCTTGCCTTGGTATCTGTCCTGTAAGAGCCACTGAGTCACCTCTCGGGCTAGAAATCACTGCAGCGGACGCAAAGGGACAAAAGTCTGCAAGGCTTTATACAGGACGTGGCACTCGAGGGACGGTGAAGCCCATCCGAGGGTGCCCTCTGCAGCGAGAACCGAGACACGACACTTAAACAGACTTCCGGGTTTCAAACTTCAGCCAGCGGCGTTTTCTGTCTACTGGTGGTTTAATTACAAAACACTAAAATCACAATATAAAAATATTGACACAAATTGTATTAGAGCTTTCGAAGAGCGCCTACTCAAAGTAGTACTTCAGCACCGAAAAACAAAACGAAACGAAAAAGATCCAAGAACCGAACCGAACACAAACAGCAGTTCAACTGAAGGGTTGTATATACAAGATAGTTCAAAAATTGTAAAATGCTTATTTATAATGAAATCTATACAAAAAAGTTAAAAACTTCCTATGTACAGTTTTTGTGTGGGTATACGCATACTCACACACAAACACACACGCACGCGCACGCACACGTATAAAAGCCATGTCTTCATTATTAAGGTTGTTTTTTCTTGTATCTTTTTAATCTGGACTTTTTAGCCACGGCAAACCCCCAATGTATCTCCTGTGCAAACTAAAACTATTAGACTGAAGAAGGATCACTTTAAATACAGTCAAACAAAACTATTAAAAGGGCAAAGTACATTTTTAAAGTCCCCACATAATCGTAAGAAAAGTGTGGTTGTTTTTCCTTTCTTAAAAAAGTTGCGTTTAAGAATGAAAGTTGAGTCCGAATATTTATGCTTGCACCCAAATTCTACCTCAGACGTCCAATGTCCTCCATGTTAAACCAATTCTCGTTTCACAGCTTAAATAGGAAAAGATATTGAACGCTGCCTGGCTCTGTTTCACAGGCCAGGAGTGGGAAAATGAAGCATTCTTCTTTTTGGCCTAGATAAATAGAAGCAGGTTCAGGATGGGGCTCTGCAAATAGTTTCATCTGTGGGTCAGAGAAAGAAAAAAAAAATCTGGGAAGTCAGGGGAAGAGAAGCGTCATCACAGCGTGGCACCCACAATTTTGAGAATTTTGGGACAGCGTGTTTTGTTTTAAAGGCCAATATCTTGAAATTTACTTTGAAATGAAAAAGAGGCGCAGCGTAGGGAAACGGTCTCCCCGCCTTTCTCCCCCCTGCATAAGGCAGCATGTCTGAATGCTCTCTGCTATCAGTTTTGAGAGACTCGACATGCTAGTCTTTAAAACAAAATCACAAATATCTCTTTGTGATGAAAATTCGTCCAACTGCAAACTCAGACTTCGGTTTGTGGCTTCGGGAGGGGTTGGGGAGGATTAGTTTGGGTGCTGTTGTTTTTTTTTTAAACACCACAACATTTTAAGAGAGAATCCAGAATGTTGCAGCAAACGAAACTTCAATATACCTTAGTGGAAAAAATAAAAAATAAAAATCACTGCACGTCTTTCGCGTTCTCGCCTTCAACGAAAATACATTCTACTGTCGAACGGTTGCCCCAGAACGGTCACGAGGCCTCTCCTGTCAAAACCATTTTGCGATCCCGTCTCACCAATACTGTCTCGTTAACACGCCGGCCGTCAGCGGGTTCAAAGACCTCGGATAGGCAAAGTGCTTCTTATGAATAACAGAAGAGCTTCTTGGACACCAACAGCCGGACCTCTGGCTGTTGCCTTAAAGTGCATCCAAGCATCCGAAATGCACTAGGTCTGTTCCGAACTCTGCATCGGGCTGGGCTCCGTCCCATCCTCATTGCTGCTGTCAATGTCCTGTTCCATGACGGTGTCCTCCTCGTCAAGGCGTTGACTGGTGAAGTTGTTCAACTCCAAGAGACCACTGGGTTCCACCACCACGTTGGAGGTGGAATGGCAGGCGACCGAATACTGTGGGATTGTCTGGAAGAGGGACAAAGCATGTTAGGGGCATTTGGCTGAAGGACCTTGAGTTGAAAAGGCCACCTCAGACCAGAGGATCCACTCCATTGCTCATCGGAGGAATCTACCTTAAGGTATCCCCAACAAACAGCTATCCAACCTCTAGAGACATCTAGAAGGAAAACCTCTTCTCTTTGGGCTGCTGATTCTACGGCCAACTGCTCTTACGTTTGGGAAAGTTTTCCATACTTTCCATCAGGATCTGCCTTCCTGTATGTTCAGACCAGTGTTTCTCAACCTTGGCCACTTTAAAAAGTGTTGACTTTAACTTTCAGAATTTCCCCGCCAGCACGGGTGGGCGGGGGA